TGAGCCCGGCGTACTTCGTAGCGAGAAATTTCGAGGCTGCACATGGGTGTTTCTCAATGTCGAGTACGCTTGCTTGGTAGCACATGTCTTCCGAGTCACTTGCTTCAGAAGCGAGGCAAGAATACTTCCTGGCATTCGGAAAACAAAGAGTGGAACAGGCGAGCAAGTGTGCAGGTGTGCGTCATATGAGAGGCCCCGCCTTACATTTTCCACCACAGATTTGGGGAAATTGGTCCGTGCGCAAAGCATTGTGGGGATTTTAAGACCGCGGAGTCTACACATATGCAGCCTCTAAATTTCTCGCTACGAAGTACACCGGGCTCGGTAGAATTCCAAGTATGCTGGACATTGGAACAGTCCTTCGGCGGCACTCGATGACGTAGTATGCTTGAAATAGTGGCTCTGGAGCAGCTTTAATCGACATTGAGAAACACCACATGTGTAGACTCCGCGGTCTTAAAATCCCCACAATGCTTTGCGCATGGACCAATTTCCCCAAATCTGTGGTGGAAAATATAAGGCGGGGCCTCTCATATGACGCACACATGCACACTTGCTCGCCTGTTCCACTCTTCGTTTTCCGAATGCCAGGAAGTATTCTTGCGTGACTCGGAAGACATGTGCTACCAAGCAAGCGTACTCAACATTGAGAAACACCCAGTATGTGACTCGGCACTCATTTGGGTGGGAGGGTGTCGTTCGCAGCGGATAGAGCTGCCGGCGACAAAGACAGCCAGCGCAGGATAGACGTTCGAGTGTCAGGTGCGGGAGGTCTGCTACCTCCTATAGATAGCAGTAGCGTGACGTGGGGAAAAATTTAGGGGAAGCCCATTTTTTTGGGTTGGTTGGGGGGGGGGGGGGGGGGGGTGGTCAATAACGTAACCAGATGAGTGATTACAGCGCCCGGGTATCATTTTACACACATTTGTATCACACAGATGCAGGACTTGCACACGCCTGTTATCTAACCGACAGGTCCGCACGCACTCTCCAGCCGAAACTCTCGTTTTATTAATTTAAGCATTTTCTTATTAATTTATGCAGACACACCCCCCCCCCCCCCCCAAATGCAATACCAGCCGCTCAATGCGCAGTGCAGATTCGGTAATGAATAAAAAAGAAGCATTCATTCACAAAGTAAATCAGGAGACCTTTAAAGTTTTATGTACACATCAAAGTATCAGTAGGCGTGTATGAAACACATGAATTCAAAAACAATTATGTACAGAAACATTTGCATGCGATAGTCCACCTTCTCTTCCCTTCCCTTTCTAACACACGGCAAGTGCAGCAACAGTCCTCGTCTCTGTAATTAGCTCAGTCCGTAGTCCAACAGTGAATGCAATCTACTGTTTCACCATAACATCTAGAGGGGCGCTGTTTGTTTCACTCTTTGTAAAATACTCAATGAGAGTGGGGGAGAGACGGGCCGGCAGCAACACACAGCAAAGGAGAATTATCGAAACAAAACAAAGTGTTTTTATTTATTTATTTAAATTATAACTACAATCCGAAAAAACAGGGGAAGCCTGGCTTCCCTTGGCCTCCGGGAGAAAACGCCACTGATAGATAGTCAGGGCCGGGGATTTAGTGAGGGCGAGCCGCGATCCCTCCTTACGCACGGCGGTGGCAAAGCAACACAGACACCATGGGTGTTTCTCAATCGCGAGTATGCTTGCTTGGTAGCACATGTCTGCCGAGCATCTTGCTTCAAGAATACTTCCTGGCATTCGGAAAACGTGTGGAACACGCTAGCAAGTGTGCAGGTGTGCGTCATATGAGAGGCCCCGCTTACATCTTCCGCCACAGATTTGGGGAAATTGGTCCGTGCGCAAAGCATTGTGGGGATTTTAAGACCGCGAAGTCTACACATGTGCACACTCGATATTTCTCCAAACGGAGTACGCCGGGCTCGGTAGATTTTCCAAGTATACTGGAGATTGGAACAGTACTTCGGCGGCACTCGATGACGTAGTATGCTTGAAATAGTGGCTCTGAAGCAGCTTTACTCGCGATTGAGAAACACCCCATCTGTCGTGACCCAGTTCACGTTGTCCAGCAAAGCCGATCCCCGGCGTCCTAAGCGTAGACCCCGGGGGAGGGTCTCGCCGACTGGCGAGTTACGTATATATTTATATTGTTGTATGTCTGATATTTTAGGAGTATTTTAGAGTGTATATGGAGGGAGAGCAGCAGGGGAGAGGCTACCACGAGTAGGAGCTCTCACCCTAAATTGTGGGTTGGTTAAGTGCATGTGTGTGTGCCGTGTGTGTTTACAATTGCCAAGTTGTGTGCCTCCGGTAGAGGGTGTTCGCGTGCCGTGTTCTTTGTGTGGTGTGCCGTGCTAAAGCTATTAAACTAGCCCTGTTTGAAGTGTATAAAGTGGGCTCCACAGTTAGTGGGGGTTCCTTGTGTCCCGTGGATTCGCTTCCTCTCTTGCTCTCTCCTCTTATCAATTAACTGTTCTTATAATAAAGATTGTCCTATATTTTGTAAATAGCTGTCTCTGTATTTATTGGAAGGTTCTGACAAAGTGGTAGTGTTTCCTGCCACACCTGAGCGAATCCAACATATATTACAGAAGCAACAAGTGAAAACCCTTCGTTGACTCTCCCATGCAGGTGCGCTATTATACAGTGTGCACTGTGGTGCTGGGGGGGTACTTATGAAACAGGGAAAGGAAGGAACAGTCGGGTCTATTCAGGCCACAGAGCGACCCCGGTGTTACCGCCTCCAATGGTATCAGAGTACAGGGATAATAACCCTCAGTGTTCTTGCATTCATTATTGTCAAATGTTGTTAAAAGTGCCAGCAGGGAAATCAAGGTAATTGTTCCACTTATGCTCAGAATGCAAACTCATGCAGTAAGGGTCGCGTAAATAGGGTGTCAAATTTCGAGATGTGATGTTAAAGCCACAATGAAGTCAATAACTCTGCATCTATGTCTTAATCTGTGTTTTAAACTTGCATTCCTTAGTTGATTAATACAATTCCTTGATTTGATCATTGCTCTTTCCTGACTATAAGAAGGCATTGTGAGTTAACTTATTTTTCTGTTGCAGGTACACTGTAGTGTCTCTACTCCTTATTACCCTGTGTTGCTACGCATGGAATATTTAAGTGATGTAAGTGATGCCACTTAGGCTATATCCGACTACACCAATGTTTTTCCTCTCACTTTGATGGTGGGCAAAGTGTGATTTGAATATTATGTGATTCTTGGTAGCTGTTATCACATCATTTCATCAACAGCAGCGTTTAACCTATTACTTAAAACTGATCTATAATGCATTATACAATCATGTATTAAACATGCAAAATGTAGTGTAAAGATACTCCTTCTTAAACAACATTTAAAATCTGCATGAGGTCCTCTAACATAGCTGTTTTATGTCAGCACATTAAATAAAGTTGTGCTGTGATTTAGTTGCAGAAATAATGTCCAACCACATTTTAAGATTCAGAGCATCCTGATAATGCACATTCCCCTTAACCATGTCCACAGCCCTGCATCTTTCAACCTGAGGCTTTGTATCACATACCTCAAAGGAGGGAGCCTGACACCTGCTGACCAACTGTGAGCAGTACAACCACACTGAGGTCTGATCGCTCTGCCTCTTCAAAGTAAGTGCATGATACATTTGAAGTACACAAACAGCAACACACTCATACTGCACTATTCCACATCATAACTTTATTTCATTTTTATAACTATTATTATTTTTGTATTGCTCATGCTCTTATTGTTATTATGTTATGTTATTATGTTGCATTGTTGGAGAAGCCTGTGACATAAGATTTTCAACTGCATAATTACTCTGTAGCTATGTCAGATTGACAATAAAGAACCTTGAACCTTGAACCTTGAACCATCACTGGTCCTGTTCCTCTCATTTGGTTAAGTGAGTGTTATCCTTGAGCTTCCTTTTTATGATAATCCACACAAATCTCTGAGTACAATCTGCACCCAAAGCCCAACATGAAGCACTTGGTTTATAAAATAAAGTGCTTTTGGTATGGTTCCATAGATAAAGAGGCCCTTAAAGCATGTCTAAACATGTTACATGTTGTTATTATTCCCTTATGTGGTTGTAGGTGACCAGGGTCAAATTTGGCTCTGGGGTTGAGGGTTTTCTGTTTTCCTGAAGCATGATTATGCCTGATTTCCAAGACCATTAAAGAACACGTGGTTTCACCTGATCACCTGGTATCTAGAAATTCAATTCGTTTTCTTGTAGTGGATTTCAATATTATTTCATTAGAGCAATGAGTTGCAGCTCAACTAAGTCTGTCAGGTCCCCATGATCGAGTTTGTTTTTCCATCTGCAATGTTTGTGCTGTTAACATTTTGTTACAGTTAGAAAAGAGAAAACATAAAATATGCTAAATTGTGTGTGTCAGATTAAGCCTAATCTGATTTTAGATTTAGGTCATTAGTTACATTTTTTGGAAGATTGACGTATTTAGCGGAAGTTCTACCAATGGTAAGCAAGTGGGGAATTGAACATGTGACGTTTTGCAGCAAAGAACAAACCTCTTACTTCTTAAAACAAAGCAACCAATCTATGTTAAACGAATGTATCTAATTCTGGTTTTAATAAATAATAGGCCTTTCCATGTCTCATAATTCTATATTTGGAGAATTTAGTTTTAGAAAACGATTATTGGAAGGACAAAAGCATTAAAAGGCTGAGCTTCCAAGTAATTCAAATTATAGCTATGCCAGTTCACCCTATTTCTTAGATTACATTGATGAATGGTGATTAAGTAAATATTTATATCAATGTTAATTCATACAAAATCACCTACAAAATCTGAGGGGATGAGCGAGTGCTCTACTGTAGAGAACTGAACACGAACAACAATCACTAATCTCCAATAAACCATTGATCAGTATGAGCCAGTCCCTTCAGCGCGTGCACGTTCAAAGCGCCTGACCGCGCTCCCCTCACAGTGAACGCGCAGCGGGTCGCCGCCTCATAACTCTGGTTGTCAGTGTACAGACCGTACAGACATGGCCGCTCTCAGTAAAATACCACACAGCTGCTACGAGATCGGGCATACCTGGGACCCTTCGTGTGTGCAGTCTGCAGTGGATGTAGCAAGAGGTGCTTTGGAGGTGTCCTTCAAAATATACGCCCCTCTGTACCTGGTAAGTTTAGCTGTTTTGCCTGCAAAACGTTGACTCTGAAGCTAAAGTTAGCTAGCTAACGAAGTAGGGCTCTACTGTAGTTTTGAGAAAACATCGTAAAGACTAGCTTGAACTTCGCTCGTTTGCACTTGAGGACTGAGGTCAAGTTCCTGCATATGCACATACTGGGTGATAGAGCACATACATTGCACGGACTACGTTGTCCTTAGAAAACACACCATGATACTCTCATGAGTGACAGACAGGCAAATAACGATAGTCAAGTACAAAACAACCTCTGATAAGTTAAAGCCGTCGGGCGAATTGTTGTTGCTCCAGTATTTGGTCCATTGTAAGCATTATACAAACCATTATCAGCTGCAAAGGGACAGTGTTATTCAATTGCACAACATTTTTTAAAGTTTTCTCAAATCTCATGCAACTATCCAAATGTGAACACCAACAACAGTGAGTGCCACTCTTCTCTAATTATTACAGATAGCAGCAGTGCTAAGGAGAAGGAAGAAGGATTACTATTTAAAAAGACTTCTCCCAGAGATCCTGTGGTCTACCTCTTTCCTCGGTGCCAATGGAGGGCTCTTCATTGTTTTCTTCTGCATTCTCAGGTCAGTATATTCAAAAATATGTCCCACAGATACACACAGCCTACAAATCAGGTGAATGTGTTTTTTTTTTAATGGTTATTTTTTTATCTCAGAGTGTAGTTTTGAATGGTTTTATTCATTATATCATAGTGTTGTTTTTTCAAAGTTTTTAGAGAGTTTAATTTGCCCTTTGCCTATCATTCCTTGTAAAGATCAAGGTTCAAGGTTCAAGGTTCTTTATTGTCAATCTGACATAGCTACAGAGTAATTATGCAGTTGAAAATCTTATGTCACAGGCTTCTCCAACAATGCAACATAATAACATAACATAATAACAATAAGAGCATGAGCAATACAAAAATAATAATAGTTATAAAAATGAAATAAAGTTATGATGTGGAATAGTGCAGTATGAGTCTATATACAAGTTATTGGAATGATATATATATATATATTAGGTATTAGATACATACTACTGAGTAGCAGTTGAATGTTTGAAGTTGTTTCAACAGTTCAATTGAGATAAGATAAGCGTTTATTGATCCCACAAAGTAACATTTAAGCTCAAAGTTCTGCACATATAATGCCATTACTAAATAGTATAATACACTTGCCAAATACTGACAGTTATTTTAAATATGCCATTTAAATCACATTTCCCCTTTGGATATAGTTTGAGTTTCTCCTTTCTTATAACAGACCTGTAGTATTTTGGATCCTGTAGTATTTTTGACTTTTTATTATCAAGAATATTTTATATTGTTTTGTTTATATTGTTTATATTTGTAATAATATTTTTTTCATTTGACTTTTAATTGTTAATTCTCTTTTCCACTTTTTAAAGTATTTCAAGTATTGTATCTTAATGTCTGAACACACTTCTGCTTCTGTGACGACAGAATTTCCCAAATTGGGATCAACAAAGTACCTACCGACCGACCTACCGACCGACCGACCTACGACCGACCGACCGACCGACCGACCGACTACCGACCGACCGACCTACCTACCGACCGACCTACCGACCGACCGACCGACGACCTACCGACCTACCTACCTCCGACCGACGACCGACCGACCGACCTACCTACGAACCTACTACCGAACCGACCTACCGACCGACAGACCGACCGACCGACCGATACCGACCTACCTACAACCGACCTACCTACCTACCTACCTACCTACCTACCTACCTACCTACCTACCTACCTACCTACCTACCTACCTACCTACCTACCTACCTACCTACCAAACAAACAAACAAACAAACAAACAAACAAACAAACAAACAAACAAACAAACAAAAGGTTAAAGAAAGATTTGGCCAAACAATTGCTTCTTTAAAGATAACCTGTTCTGACAGCGTTACAGAGTCCACTCTAAAGTAAAAAGATATTGAAATATAGTTGTGTTTATTTCCAACTTAAGGAAACTGCTTGGAGGGTTCTACCCCTGGTCTGCCGGGTTTGGCTCGGCGCTGCCTGCCTCCTATATCGCCATCCTCCTGGAGCGCAAGAAAAGGTAAGAGACTTAAACAAAGTTAATGGATGCATCTCAAGTATCAGACATGGCCCTGTGAGTATTATGGCGCATTTCCACCATGGCGCGGAGCGCGGTTTAAGCGTGCCGTGTCGTGCCGTGCCTGTTTTTGGTTGCGCTTCCACTAGGCCTAGTTACGGCCTCTTTTCTGGCCCGACAAAATTGTGGTTCTATCGGGGCCAACAAACAGGGCTGAGTCGGGCTGAGTATGCTAAACTAGAGAGAGGATCGCTGGCAAGGGGGCTACAACTACAACAAGATGGACATATTTGACCGTGATTTAATTGTAATACACGTTTCAAAATGATGCCGAAGTAACAACATACTGATACCGGTTAGTAAAAACCATGAATTAATGCTTTGGCAAGTTTGCAGACAGACGGCAGGGGAAAAACCTTTTAAAATGCGTGTTTTCTAGATGGAGATTGGCTAAGCTAACGCAGTATATGCTCCGACCGTCCACACTCACAACAACGGCCTATACAGACATAAATAAAGCAGCGACTGTACTCGCCATGACACAGGCAGTCTGTGGTGTGTACTTGTTTAACTTTTGTCGAGTTTCTGAACATATATAAGGAGCTGTGAGCTCTGAGTGCTAACAGCTAACGGCTGTGTTGTTTTTCTGGGGTTCTCAATGAAGATGACGTCACGGCTCCACCTACACTGCGTTACTATAGTAACTACCCCAGTTCCTAAACTGTAATGGAAGCGCAGCATGAAGTGAGCCGGCCCTGTTAAGGCCCAACGCGGCCAAGCAGTACCGAGCGTGGCCGAGGCCGACCGTGTGGTGGAAATGCGCCATTTGTTGTGTTAACTGACTATTAATGTGTCTCTCCATTTCCTCCCCCCACCAGGAGAGGGATGCTGACAATATACATGACAAATATTGTAAGACATACTCTGTACCTTTAACAATTATTTTACATAATTTATATAAAAATACATTTCTGTCTTCGCCACACAGTGTATATGTGACAATGTAATCTTGTTTTTAGGCCACTGAGACTTTGTTCCGTATGGCAGTGACACGAGGGATCGTTAAACCCATCAAGCACGGCGAGGTAAGACAGCAAGGAGGATAGATGGAGCTTTATATGGGGGCTTGGGGACTTAATAATAAGTGTCGAGTATTAAAACAAATGCTTGGTGGGCACCAAAGGGCATTACCTTAAAACATTAAAGGGGTGCTTTACATTTTTAGCAGTTTACTGTTCTAAATATTAAATGACCCCAGCTCAGAATTAGTGTTGCAAAATTCCGGGAATTTTCAAAGATGGAAACTTTTCATGGGAATGAAAGGAATTAACGGCAATAAACGGGAATTTATGGGAATAAACTGGGAATTTTCTAAATTGAAGGTTGGCTCTTCATAGGGAACTTACATATAGTTGGGGAAAGTATATTTAAGCATAATCTTGACTAAAACAAACAGATGCCATTCAAGTACACTTGAATATCCATGTCACATCTACATAGCACACTGCTTACTGCATGGCTATTGAGACCACACCCCCTACAGGCACTGTGCATTCCTCCATCACATGCACACATGATTTCTAGAAGACTGGATCACACTCTTGAGCCCAAAGCACAAGACAAATAAAGCCACACAGTTTTGATGATATTATGGGGTAATATATTTATTTAATTTTTAAATTGCAAATATCACATACAAATGTATTCATCTAGTACAGTGTTTCTCAAACTTTTTCATACCAAGGACCACTTAACCAATAAAAAAAACACTCGCGGACTCTGTTCGTTTTTCTAGAACAGATTACAAATCGCCTGAAAATGGTACAAACAAGTGGCAACATGTGTGACGAAGGTGTGGCGCTGGGCTATATCATGCAATCGAAAGTGAAACTTAAGCTCGCTCGTGGAGATATTCCCGCCAGAGTGCGGAAAACTTAAATGTATTTATTTATTTCAAATATGGAATATTTCCAAAATTCCCCAGCTTAACTTCCCATGGAAATGTACTGGAAATATTCCGCCCCTTTGCAACCCTACTCAGAATACATACATAACTTATCACCTTGTGCCAACTTGATTAAATAGAGAGCCTGCTACTGCTGTTCCTGGTGTTCCATCTGTATTTGTGAGAGTAAGCAGTTCTAACTATTTAGGCTTTTATTTACCCTTCATAGTTGTGAAATAAGTTCAATGACCCGATGCTAACCAGAAGACCTGATGATCTCTTTCCGTCTGCGTTTCCCCTTAGGTGCTTTTGTTCTGCATAACTGCATCGCTCTACACATTCCTCTTCAGGTCAGACACCTAAAGTGAAATGTGAAACATTGGTTAATTAGGTACTATGAATACCCTTCAAATATTAAAAACTACGGTGTTTAAATTACATTTTGTGTTTATGCTACAGGAGGAAAGATGGTCTCAAGGGGTTTGCCTTCTCTGCATTAAAGTAAGTCATCTCTGTTTGTGATGTCTTGATTCAGATTGACTGAGAGTTATTTGGTAAAGCTCACAGAGTTTAAGTGTGCATTCCCTGTGACAGGTTCATCATCGGGAAAGAAGAGATTCCAACTCACTCTGTAGCGGCAGAACAGATCAGACCCCTCGAGAGGACAGCTGCTATCGAGACTGAGCCTTCACAGGCGTCAGCAGAAAGACCCGACTCCAGCAGGAAAACTCTGCTAGCCTACACCAGGGAGCTGATAGAATCAATGTGAGAGGATACACAACTTTTACACTGACACAAAGATTTCTAATTTAAATTACTGACTTTTTGTTTTAACAATCCAGATGCAAAAAGGGTCCAAGACACAGATGTTGCAAACATTACCAAGACAACTGCATTTCCTACTGTGTGAAAGTAAGACACTTCAGTTATGATTATGGTTTTATAACACACCCATACATAATAATAATAATAACACAATATTTATTACTTTTTCTCTTTTTTCATCATCCAGGGATTTGTCAGGATGTTCAGTGTTGGCTACCTGATTCAGTGTTGTCTTAAGGTGCCTTCAGCGTTCAGACACATGTTTACTAAACCCTCACGCCTCCCGTCACTCTTCTACAACAAGGATAACTTCCAGCTAGGGGCCTTTCTAGGATCCTTCGTCAGCATCTACAAGGTACATTTCGTCCTGGTTGATTTGTTCTGTGAGAGCTTCTTTTGTTTCATTTTCCTTCATGTTGTGCAATTCTTGCTTTTAGGTTAACAATACAAACAGAGGCATCATCTCCTTTTAGAAATATTTGATTGCTAATCTCTGATTTCTGTCTCTCACCTTTTTCCTTTCTCAGCATGTCTTGTGTTGTCATATAAACAACCCCCCCTTGCCCTCCAACAGTCCAAAGTCCCATTACCCCGTCAGCTACCAATACTGGTACAATGTAGTTATGTTGGAAACACTGTGTGTTTTTTTTCTTATCAGGGAACAAGCTGCTTGCTGCGCTGGCTGCGAAACATTGATGATGAACTCCATGCACTGATAGCTGGTGAGACATTACGGTGTAAACTGTTCAAAAATATCATCGTAGAGTAATCTTCCTAAAGATTGTCTCATCTTATATTATCTGACAATTTCTCTTTTTCTGTACCCCATCTTTCAAGGCTTCCTGGCTGGTACCTCGATGTTCTTCTACAAGAGCACGTCGATATCCATGTATCTCTTCTCAAAGCTGGTGGAGGTAAAATAATATCTCAAGTGACAGTAAAAAGAGAAATAACATTTTTGAGAACCAATAATTGAAAAGATAGACTAACAGTATCTTCTAAATATCATAGCAAATAGTTTTTCTCAAATAATAAATAAACAGGAAACTATTTGTAAAATATCAATGTACAGGTTTATTGATGACTTCTCTTATTTCATGTATGTCAGCTATAGTTTACTTTTGCACTGTATGAGAAAATTAAGTATTCATTTTGGCAAAATACATTTACTTGTAAACAACTAAACGGACGCTGGTCGGTTTCCTGCAAGGGAATCTATGGGATCAAATAACATAATCATGATCCTTTAGGCCTTTAGGAATTAGTGAAACTAAGCAAAGTAAACTATGGGAGGGGGTTCCTTTTTCCAACTTTGTCTAAGGGGAAGTCTACAGTCTAATACTATAAAGCCCCTGTATAAATGTTAATGACATGGTAGTAGTTCCTAAGGCTGCTTTTACACGGGAACGTTTGCGTTTATGCACAGTATGCGTTTTCAAAAAAGTATTCCGTTCACATGCATTCGTTTCATTTAACGTGTCTGTTCAAACGAGACCGCTGGAAACGCTGTAGTACATATGCCGGGACTGTAAGTGGCGCTGTACTTCCACTCGAAAGCGCTGGACACGCTGTAGTACATATGCCGGGACTGTAAGTGGCGCTGTACTTCCACTCGAAAGCGCTGGACACGCTGTAGTACATATGCCGGGACTGTAAGTGGCGCTGTAACTTCCGCCACAAAATACACCAAAAGCAGCGAAGAAGACCCCGGAGCAGCCCGGAGCAATGTTGCCATGGCTACCCTTCTGTTTATGCCCCGCGGTGGATTTAGCAACATGTAGTGGTTCATGTAATTCTCCATGTCCACTTGTTGCTGATGGTTGTGGTAGAGGAGCTGTAGATTTTGCACTAACATCTGTAGCATGGTCGAGCTGTAGATGTTGTACTAACATCTGTAGCATGGTCAGTAGCAGTAGCACTAGCAGTAGCTACTGACAGTAGCTACTGGCCATGCTACAGCAGTGAGCAGCAGAGGCGGGGAGAGGTGGGGCTATCGTTATTTTTTCAGGAAATATTCGTATAGAGGCGATTACACGGACTCGTTTGACCCCCCAGAGAGTTTCGTTTGCAAATCTATCCACCTTGGGACCCGTTATCGTTTGTGGGGTCCGTTTGTTACGGCCTCGTGTAAATAATAGGGCTATACGTAAGAGAAACTATGCAGATACAAGCCGTTTCGTTCTCGTGTAAATGTGGCCTAAGTTAACATAATGCCAGATAAGACTTGCATTTTAATAACATTTTACTTTGTGTGTGCTTATCTGTAAATGTATTTGTAATGGCATTGGACCGGTAAACATTAACAGCACATGCTTTCATTTCTGTCTTTAGACCCTTTACTTTAAGGGCATCGAGTCCGGACGGTTCCCTTACTTTCCTCATGCAGACACGGTCATCTATGCCATCTCCACGGCGATCTGTTTCCAAGCCGTAAGTGACACAAACAACAACCCACAGACCTGCTCACAGAGATATTATTTAATTTTTGTTCTGTCTGCTGAGTAATGGTATGATGCATGACTTTTACACAGGCTGTGATGGAAGTGCAGAACCTCAGGCCTACATACTGGAAGTTCCTGCTGCGTTTGACTCAGGGCAGGTAAGAATACAGCTGTCAAACTATGCTTTAACAATTGAATCATTTTGTGTTTTTTTCTTAGATTGTCATAGTTTTTCTGTCCATGTTAAGTTTAATCTGTCTGTCTCGTTTCCTAGATTTGCTCTGATGAACCGGCATTTGCTAGATGTGTTTGGGACTCAAGCCTCCAGGGACTTTAAAGGCTTTGTGCCCAAGCTGGACCCTCGTTTCACCACAGTGCTTCCACCAGGAGCCGACATCCAACTGGGCTGACCTGGGATCAGGCTGTGGGAGGGGATGTTAGGGGTTACCTCAATGGACAGTGTGGTTGTTATTTCTGAGTAACTGAAGGATCTTTTTAAAGGTGTTATAACAGCTCAGGAGTTGTGAAGTCGTGTTATTAGATGGGGAAATGCTTTAGAAGATGTCGGGCCCTAGATGTGTCCAAAGCAGGACGTCATGAGTGTCAAGCATGATGCTGCACACGTTTACAGCCTGGGGTTGTGTGAAACAGGTGACTTGCAAAATATATATGAAACATTTTTACACTTAAAAACCCTTTACACTACAAGATACATATTAAAGGTCCCCTATTATACCGTTTTCATCAATATATTATAGGTCTCAGATATATACAAACATGTCTCTGAAGTGCTTGGCTCGAAACACCAAACAGATCATTGCAGCATCCCATAATCCCCTCTGTTTCAGCCCTGTTTCAAAAGTGCTGATTGAAACATTTTACATTTAGTTGTAATACTAAACTGTTCTGCAGGTTATGGATGGTAATAGTAAGGTATCAACCTTATATGGTGTGTTTACCAAAACCACAGATAATCAAAAACATGGTTTATTGTAAAAGATGAATTCAATTTGGCTTCAACAGCATTCCTTTGGTCCAAATGTTTCTTAATTTAGCAAGTTACCTTTTAAGTTTGTATTGACTGAACTCTGGTTACCTGTCTGATTGCTTTCAGGACAGGGCAAAAATCACCAACTAATCTTTTTGAAATAGGCACCGTGATAACTGATTTAAGAGGTGAAAGAATTTGTCAATCATAACTCTCAGATCATTTCTAAATGTGCACCTTTTAATGGGTGCAATTGATTATGTAGCCTTATCAAATATTATATTCTATAGTATACAAAGAGAGATGTATTTAGATTGTTTTCTATGATTTGAAACAAAGAGGTGGAAAATCAAAAATTTTAACCAGTTACTTAAATTGTTGATCTTGTTTTTGGTGATTTTTTTTAAAATTCCAATTTAGTTTTGTTTTTAAATGTCATTCTTGAGTGTTTTTTTAAAGTTAGCTTAAATGAGTTAAATGAAGCAGCAAAGACCTTGGAAAAGTTGGATATTACATTTATGGAGAATATTTTGAAACCTGTGGTTAGGTTGTATAAAAATAAACGAATTAAGAAATAACCATTAATTTCACCCTAAAGGCATATACATTGGAAGTGAATGGCAATACACTTCTATATTTGCTTTAATTAAAACAAATCTTAAATAGGCCAATACTTTGTAATGTGATAAATTGCATTGCAGGGGAGACTCATTTTATAGATCCATATAATTCCTCAAGCCTCATGTAATAACATTAGCAAATTATTATTCAAAAAATCATCACCAAAGTCAACCTGATCCTTTTTTATTTCATTTTCTGCCGGTGTTTGGGTAAGAACAGTGTGATCTATATGACTGAATATTTAATATTCACTAATACAGACCAAACACAGAATCAAACTGGTTCAAATGAATGATTTAGTTGTTTCATATGAGCTTATAAAATATCTATTAAAAATGCAGTTGGCTGTTTGCATTTCAATTAATACTCACTGTCAGCTTCAAGGTGAACCCAATAGCTTAACTTCCACTTTGATTAAAAAATGGTTAACTTAGGAATTTGGAGGCACATTGAAGTGTTTGTATGAAGGTACAGTAAGGAATCTGTTTCTGTGAATAAAAAGCTCACAGCTCAAATCTGCTTTGGTTCTGATTTTTGTTGCTGAAAGATGAGGATATTTGAAAAAAACTAGTGTTGAGTTTTAAACATTTCATGTTATCTGGAAAGTATGCATTAACATTTTTAATAAGTGATAAATAGTCCAAGTGGTTCTGCAGACAATGCCATGATAGAGACAGTGGATATTTTTGGAGTTCATGTTATCTATGCTCATCCCAAATGACACTGCAATAACACAAGCCATGATTTACAAAGTACAGTGAAAAATGCATGATCAATGATATTTAGGACTGTACTTATGTTGTACGGAATTATAATTAAACTCATAACAAATGTTTATGAATTATATTGTATATTCTTTATTTATTTATTTGTAATCCTTGTTAGTGTTGTCATATTTTTGGATCACATGATATGGAAAATGTTGGTGTATACTTATAGCCGTATGACTGGGAAATGCATAGGGGAAAGCTGCGTTTTATCAGTACAGTCAGATATTATTCACAAAGTCTGTGGATGCCACTTTATTTTGAAAGATCAGGACCGGAAGTCGTCAGTTCCGTCACATGAACACCACCAGTGTCTTTCCGTTCTGTACCATTGGATACTTTTAACATTAATGCGTATCAATGGGGGGTAAGAATAAACAACGAACCAAAGGAAATGTCCGGGTAAGTACCAATGTCTGTATAGTACTGTAGTGTCTGTTCTTAGCTAACGTTACAGTGTTAAAGTGAGATTGCTAGCAGTCAACACGAGCACAAGCTAATGTAAACTTCACGTTCACAGCTAGTTTAGGCTACGTGTGTCCCAGCTGTTTTACGGCCACCACGTTTTCTTCTAGTTAATGTTTAATGAGATGATTAATGTTCTATACCCCCATTTCCCCCTGCCCTTACTAGCCGTCCAGTAGCGGCCGAGCTGCGGAGGCACTTACCCGGGAGGGAGGCGTCATCCCGGGCTTTGTGGGCTTCGACACGACGGTCAACTCGGAGCTGAGTTATGTCCCCGCTGTCCACGGGGCGGAGGAGATAGACAACCTGGTGGATGCAGATTTCCGCCTGGTGCTCAGGAAACTGTCAAAGAGGGATGTTGTTACCAGACTGAAAGTGAGTTTAACTGTTACTAACTTTCTGGTCTCATATAACATCCATGTCAGTTTATAGAATTCTACAACATACCACTTTATGTAACTTAAAACACAGGGTACATACAGTACACACATGTTGAAAACACTCCTTGGGATATCACTTCAGGGGCTTGTTGGTCTAGGTGTGTGTCTTAAAGGTCCCCTAATATACTGTTTTTCATCAATATAGTATAGTTCTCAGTTATATACAAAACATGTCTCTGAAGTGTTTGGCTCCAAACACCAAACAGATCATTGTAGCTTCCCATAATCCCCTCTGTTTCAGCCCTGTTTCAAAAGTGTTGATTCTGTGTCTGTAGCTTTAGATGAAAATAAGGAGCCACTCCCCACGCCCCTCTGAGATATATTTGGTGATAAGGTGGGCGGGTGTTACCTTAGTTGGTGATTGGCTAATGGATATACAAGCCGACAAATCGTTATGACATCATAAAGTGGCCAAAATCCGACATTTTCAGACAGGATTTTCTATAAATTGATCAGGACAAAAAGTGAGCTAATCTTTTTTCCTGAAACTTTCAGAATCTCTTTACACAGAGGGGACATATGTTTATATATAAAAGACATGAAAAAGTGGATTTTGCATAATAGGTGTGCTTTAATGCTTTATGCTTACCTCAGGCTGTGCAGGACTTTGGATCCATGTGCCAGGAACGGGATGCTGAAGAGGTGAAAGGCGTCCTGCCGTACTGGCCGAGGATTTACTGCAAGATATCAGTGGTGAGATGGTCCTTCAACACACATTCATAAAATATCCCTTTCTGTATCATTGTGAAATAATTTTTCACATTCTGGAAACGATGCATGTTTAACGCAAAACTAAGCACTCAAGCTACTATTATACATTTTTGATCAATCAAATCCGTCCTGCCATTGAAGGCATCCCATTTCAAATGATTGGGAATAACTCAGGCTGGATGGAAGCACACTCAAACTACAGATTTCATTTTAATGAGACTTTAATTTGTACAAGTGTTCGGGGTGTGTACATTAGGATAATTTGGTCTTGATCGTCATGTCTATCAGGACCATGATCGGCGGATCAGGGAGGCCACCCAGCAGGCCTTTGAGCAGCTGGTGCTGAAAGTGCGCCGCAGCTTGGCCCCCTTTCTGAAGAGCTTGATGGGCCACTGGATCCTGTCCCAGTGTGACACTTACACACCTGCAGCCTCTGCGGCGTGCCAGGCCTTCCAGGCTGCGTTCTCCCCCAGCAAACAGCCCGAGGCTCTCAGCTTCTGCAAGGATGAGATGCTAAACGTGAGTAGTGGTTGTAGGGGGAACGAGGGGTTTCGTAATCTAATGAACTGAAATTAATGTAAAAAGGTTATTCTTGTATTACAGGTACTTCAAGATGTTTTGTTAAAGGAAACGGCAGACACGCTGAGCGATCCACAGTAAGTTTAGCACATTATTTTCTTTGTGTTATGTTCTCCATTTGTCTCAATTATGTTGGCACAATGATAATAAATGGACAAATTATTATTATTTACTGAGGCACTGGTTCCTTTTGTTCTCCAGAAGTGTGACAGAGGAGGAGAGAGAAGGCAAATATGTGCGCATGCTGACCAGCTCTCTGTTGGGGGTGAAGAGATTGCTCTCGCTGCTACTGCCGAGCGACAGGACGGCCCTGGAGGAGAGACTAACACATCTTCTCAACTCTGGGAAGTTCTGGAAGTACGGCAAACACAAGACACCACAGGTACTGGCATTGAGTAAGACTGATGAAATTGTTGACCTGGTATGCACATAATGTCCTTTCACATAACTACTATAAGCAGGGTGCGTACGGGTGCTGGAAATCCTTGAAAATGCTTGAAATTGTACGAGGTGTTTTCAAGGTTTGAAAAGTGCTTGAATTTTGGGAATGGTGCTTGAATTTGGGATAAAGTGCTTGAAATTGTAAATGCTTTACTTCGCTTTTTAGATTAAAAGAAAATAAAGAAGTCGGAGCGCGCTTAATTGCTTCGCTTTTACATAAAACAGCTCCGCTCCGGCCTTCCCACGCTATGCGCGTGACCGGCAAGTGTTTTTGTTACGTGTGTGACCTGGACATTCTGATGAGAGTGATAGATGACAGTATGCCAGGAGGTTGCCGTTTCAACGAGCGTTGGCTAGCAGAAGACAAATACAAGCCATGGCTAAGACGAGGGTCAAGCGAAGCCCAAGAGTAGCCTCCTGCAAAGTGTGCAACAATAACGATGCGAGAGTCTGCGCTGACGAGCCACACACCACACGAAAGGTACGCCGTAGTAGAGCATTTTAGATTAGGCTATCGTTGCATGTAAAATACATGACACTTTTCTCTGTGCGCGGCAAAACAAGCTCGCCAAAATGGCTTCACTAGTCTGGCAGTATTTTAAGTGTCTGAAAATGACAATAAAATAGCGGTATGCAACGTGTGTGTGAAGCAGAAATCCTGCAGCTCCACCCGCTGTGACGGACCGGTGAGCGGAGCAGAACACACATTAAGAGTTAGACCTAACACACTTAGCTATTTTATCTACTTCTGGAACAAGCTAAACTAGTTATAAATATATTTATTCTTCACTGTCGGGTCACTCATTACTGGATCAGTGAGCTGCAGGAGATACTGACGGGCTGTCAGGAGAGAGAGAGAGGGGGAGAGAGGAAAAGAGAGGATATCGGTATCGGCCGATACTGATTCCGGCGATCGGCTCCAAAATTGGCGATCGGAGCATCCCTAATAATTGTATATGATATGTTTTATAATGATTGATCATGAAAGTGTTATCAAAGCTGGTAAAGTTGCAGCTAGTTTGAATGACTTTGTATACTACAGAGTAGCTTGTGAATTTACTCCAGGTGGAACTAAAGTCTGATTTAACACTTGATTATATTTCACATCATTCATCCACATCTGTAAAGTAACTAAAGGTATTAAATACATGTAGTGGAGTCAAAGTACACCATTTACCTCTGACTTATGTTTACTGCCAACCTAAAAGTACCTCAAAAATAGTAATCAATAATGTATTGAAAAGTTATTTGGCTGATTGTTTTATATTGGCTCAGCCAGGTTATATGGGATGCCCAGTCTACGTACAGATGGGTCACTCATTTTGAAATATTAAACTTAGTTTTCTTTTCTAACATTTTGAATTTTTCATCCTCATGTAGAATGCTATTATGAAACACACATTTGGTTGTTTATAGCATAAAGAACATCTGATTTAATGTGAGGTAGGGAAATAATCATTTGAGTATAAGTATGTGTATATAAATATGTCATTTACAACAGCTGTAAGATGCTTGAAAAGCTTGAAAATGCACCTTGAAAATGCTTGAAAAGTGCTTGAATTTGACTTTGGAAAAGGTGTAAGAACCCTGTATAAGGAATGTTTCACTTTTCAATTTCATATATTCATCATAAGACTCAAATGTGTACAGGATAATATGCCACATCCCAGTGCATAACCCTATTTTTCCTAAGCCACCAAGTTCCCTATTATTCCTTGTGCCCATTTGAGTTGAGTTAAAGTGGGATAAATATCTGAGTGTAACTTTTGTTTAATAAAATCTAAGGTATTCTTATTACATGAATGTAGCTATGTTTACATGTTCTGGATAAAAACGTCTTTCTCATTAAACACAGATTATGTAGATATGCTCTATCCTTCAAAGTTAAATGTATCTTTTTAGTTTATATTTGGTTAACGATAAAACCGAGAGATGCTGAATTACATCTGTGTGTGCTTTCAAATGACACCTGTGATGATCTGTTTTGAAGAATAATCGCTCCTATGTGTTGCTCCACAGGTGCGAGGGGCCTTTTTTGAGATGGTGTGTGCTCTGTGTGAGTACACTCCAGATCTGGTGCAGGCTGAAGCCGCTCGACTCTGCCCCGCTGTT